AAACTTTACAATAGAAAATAATATCTGAAAGTGGAAAATATAAACTTTATTGCATTACACAAACTAAAAAACACCATATTTAGCTTCATAATATAAATAAATGTAATAAATAACTTACAAGAAACTGGATTTTTTTCATTTTACAATAAATCACTTGTGTATAGATTGGTATGTTTGTGAGTTCAGGTTAACAATTGGAGGATGGGGCAAGCATGACTGAATCACTGTCTGGCACGACTGACTAAGTAGTTTTACTATAGCACAGAAATCATAAGGATTTCATTGCAGTCCCTAAAGTTGTCTGGCAATTTACTGGCCATGCCCACAGCTCTGTTTTCAGGCAGGTTATGCCTGGAGCTCACTCACATGACACTCAGGGCTACCAAAAACCTTTCAGATATTTTAATATGCATAGCATTCCCCAATCACTGAGCTATATTTTTCTACATTATAGGCTTCGTAAACGCACACTGATAAAATTCACCTAATCAACTACACAAAAGCAAAATACAGCGTATAGAGTTTTATGCACAAACTGTGATAAACAGTGCATCATTTCTGGCATGTGAACATGAGCCTGACTTCCGTACACACATTTTGTATTTCAGACATTACAGATTTCATCTCTAGTTAAGCTGCAATATCTGCTGCCATTGTTAAGGTCTTTCTGTTTCTATCTGTTATCAGCTGTTGTAGCCAACATGTAATTTTTCATGTACATTTCTGCCAATGTCGATATATAAACGACTGTAAAATTTAGAAATCTGAATTAAATCTACTTGAATTAGCATTACAGACAAATGTACTATTTACAGTACTTTGCAAAAGTCAGTGATCGTACTTCATTTATTTCATTTCCAGTCAAAAAAATGCCACTAAATACAAGGTATTCATTTCTCAGGAGATATTTCTGAGGAGATTAGACTGAACATAATCCAGCTGCATAAGCAGAGGGAACATGAGGAAAGCAAGTGAAACAACAGTAGTTTCCAAAGCTGAAGTTAAAAAATGATTAAAAGATACAGAAACAGTGAGAGTCCTAACAACCATGCAAGACCTGGTTGTCCATCAAAACTTAACCACATAAACAGTAATTAAAGCTTTCATGTTTAAGAGACAGGTATTTCTGTTCATCCTTACTGTGAGAAGACAACTCAACACTATGACTCTGAAAGTATCTGAAGCTGTCAAATAGCTCTTGAGAAAAGGAAATAGACAAAAAAGAAGAATGCTTGCAAATCACACAAAGAAGATTCTGATGCTCTCAGAGCAATGGACTGACCACCCTAGAGCCCAGACCTCAACATCACTGAATGTATTTGGGATTACTGTGATCGTGAGAAGCAGAAAATACAACTAATTTCTAAGACTGAAGTAGCTAATCACAATTTCTGCATCGTTTACGATGGAATGGAAGAACTTGAACAAGAGTTTTAACACTGGTAGAAAATTTTTAAGAATTTAAGGCTATGGAAATACCCTGCCTATAGGTTTTATTTGCAGACATAACTAAAAAAATGCGCTTTGGTAGGACATTTCGATAAGGTAGCACAATCAGTCAGAGCAACGCCATAGCCCGACTTATTTCCATGTAGATTAATGACATCAGCATTAGCTTGTATGTAGTATTATTAATATTATTATTATTAAGACTCTTTAAAGACCTTGTAATTCAGAGGATCCAAAGATATTCAAGAGAAAAATGTATGCAGGACAAAACATAGCCAGTTCTAAACATTTTTATTTAACACAGGGTGTGATAGAGGCGATTTTTTCAAAAATCCTATTCATTCTGGCCATAGAGAAATCAAGCTTAGGCCCGAGGTTCCTACGATGGGTATAACATGGACTACAGAATGACGCAAGACTACAGTGGTCTGTGTGGACCGTGTGTCATGTGAATCCAATCAAACATGCTGTTTGGTTTTATGAGAGGTGCGGGAGGGAATGAAGAAGCATTGCCTTTGCTTCCACAGCAAGAGGAAAGGTACATGTCCAGGTTTGACAATGCAGTTGGCAAAAAGCAAAACGTCCTCAGTCGTATAATTTCGCTGACTCTAGCCAGAGAAACATGACTCGTGTGTGCAGCTCGAGCCCTGCCTGAAACATCACATGTTTGGTGAGAGTGAGGTTTCTGTGTATGGGAACAGACAGGGTGTGCTGACTCACACAGCTTCTGTAGTAGTTTGAGCACAGTGGGAATATGTGCGCCTATGTAGACAAGCCTCCAGAAAGCAGTAAATTATTTGTAAAACCAGAGTCGGTTGGCCCTATATGCCCACTACGCACATTGCGTAGGGCCTCGCCTTCACTTCATGTCAAGCTGCTGGTTGTTTACAACTTCAGTGAGAGGATGAAGCTGAACTATCCATCCAATCACAAAAAAAGGGAAAAAAAACTATGAAAGTAAATTAGGGGAACAGTAATCAGGTAAACCTGTATTCTCTCCTCTCCAAGTGTGATGTCCACAAATAATAATAAAATAACAAAAACATGTAACAAATAACAGTTGATGTGCTAGGTTTGATGAATGCCAACAGGCAACAATGTTTACAAACCGCAGCTCGGAAAAGATGACCATTTGGTGCGTAAACAATTTCATATGTACATGCATGAAATGAAACTTGTGCTTTGCAGCAGCAACCTCTGTCCAGAGAGCAGTCCAGATAACATAGTGGCATGATGGCACACTCCTCACAGCACATCCTTTTAGAACATGCACACACAATCACTTTGTAAGCCGCTTATCCTTCTGGGTCACGTAGGGACCTTGAACCTATCCCAGAAGTCACTGGGAGGAAGGCGGGAAACACCCTGGACAGATCACCAGTCCACACACCTAGGGGCAATTTAGCATGTCCAACTGGCCTGACTGCATGTCTTTGGACTGTGGGAGGAAACCAGAGAACCCAGAGGAAACTCACACAGACACAGGGAGAACATGCAAACTCCACACAGAAAGGACTCTGGCCACCTGGCTGGGAAACAAACCCAGGCCCTTCTTGGTGTGAGGCGACAGCGCTACCCACTAGTCAAGGTTCAGTTACAACTCTGGACTAATGCAAAATGGAAAGCAGTGGATTGACACTGACTATCGTTTAAATATTGCATTTCTAGCCTGATCTTTACTTGATAGCTACAATAAATGTTTTGATTAACCTTAATAAACATGTTAGACTCTTAATGAAAGAAATAAATAACATACAAATTCTGTCTCTGGTAACATAAATTACTATTTAATTGTCACTTAAGGATGCATAGTGCATAAAAATTGCATATCTGTTCCAAAAGTTCCAGAGTTCCAGTGCATAGCTGAGGAACTGCACACAAGCCAAAGCATCAGCTGGAGTAGTGTGAAGCATGCTGCCACTGGACTCTGGAGCAATGGAAATTGTTCTCTAGAGTGACAAATCACAATTCACTATCTGGTGGTCTCTTGGATGAATCAGGGCTTATCAGATGGCAAGAGAATGCATACCAATGCATAGTACGCACAGTAAAGTTTGGTTGAGGAGGGATAATGGTTTGGGGTTGTTTTTTAGGGTTTGGGCCCCTTAGTTCCTGTGAAGAGTAATGTAAATGCTACAGTATACACAGATATTTTAGACAATTATATGCTTTCAACTTAGCAACAGTTTGAGAAAAGTCCTTTCCTGATTTAGCATGACTGTGCTAGAACAGGAAAGGACCTTCCTCAAAGGCTCTTTTGAATGGGCACAAATTCCTACAAACATACTCCAAAATTCTGTGGAAAGCCTTCTCAGAAGAGGGGAGGCCATTATAGCCACAACTCCAAATTAATACCTATGATTTTGGAACGGGATTTCCAACAAGCTCATAGAGGTGAGATGGTCAGGTGTCCATATACATTTGGCCATACAGTGTATATTAGCATTTACCGCACATTTATTTTTAGATGTAAAGAAATATATGTATTTATATTTTTGTTCCACATGTGGTGACAGGCCTAGTGCATATGTGTCTATGCTGGACCTTAAATATCTTGCCACTCTTGGTATTATGAGGTATCTAGGAGTTAGAAAAGTGAAAATTTTGACCTGTTCATAGCACTAGAAGAATGAGAGAATGGGCACCACAGTGGCTGTAAATTGCATTGTTTGGGCTACCCTAAAAATGAACAGTGCATGCAATAACAACCTTCCACCTGACATGAGACATGCTTAGACTACTTTAGAGCCTCAAACTGCATTAGAGTATTCCTAGGAGAATGACGCTATTAGACCCTCTTCAGCTTTCATTTGCAGGCTGGCCAAGGCTAAAGGCCAGGCCTCTCATCAAACCTGTCAAAAGGTTTGTTCATGTTCAAATCCAATTACAGCTAGTTCAAAAATTCCACCTCAAAAGAGACAGAGAGAGAAGCACACAAAGAGAAAGATCTATTACATAAAGAGGCCCCTGACTGTGGAGGCACGCTGAATACCATCTGTGATGTGGCAGCCCAGCCCTGTGAGGTGCACCATGGGAGGTCCAAAAAAGCCAGTGAATTACACATTTGTCACAACAGGAACCTCTATCATTAGTGCAACAGACACGTTATCTGCATCCATAAATTCTGTAAACTAGACAAATCTTAACCAATCTGGTTTTGTCTGGGGACATCTATGGGTCTAACATGCACAAGCACAGACTTCCTTTGCAGCAACCTAAGCCACAGAGAGAAATAAAAAAAACATATTTCATTTTTACTTGCCAGCCAAGTTCTTTCTGTACTGGATTTCTGCATTCTACTTGTTTGATTGGAAAATCACAGGCCTGCTTTTGTGTAGCTCTACCCAATAACACTCAATAACAACCAATATGGCTGTCCAATATGTGGCATGAAAAGAAAAATGCCAAGTAATCTCCTACCCATTTTCAAATACACTCCCTCTTCACTTTCAAAAATTTAGGCCCTCATAATATTGAGCATGATGGTGCATTTGTTCAAGCAACCTGAGTAGTTTCTTTGTACAAATCTTGAAAAGAAGATCAATACCTACCATTAGGGCTCTCCTCGTCTATGGCTACTATGGTGGCTGGAGGACCAGTTCTGGAGAGCTTGCACTCTGAGAGGCAGAAAGAAGCATCATCGACCTTAAACAAGATTCATAAACCCCATACTAAAGATATTTGCAGACATTTCAATTTCAGCCAAGGTTAGGGTCCCCATTAAGTCGTGCTCTAGCAGGGCCAATACATAAGGGGCAGGAGCACAAAACATGAGGCATTCTATGCACATTGAGGCTCTTTCTAGTACGGGCAAGTAAGGGCTGATGAAATGCTGCTCGTCAAGCAGATAAAGAGATGTAAGAGATGAAGAAAAGAAAAAGGATAACAAACTTACCCTCATACTGCCAGTCTGCAGTCAGAAACGGTGTGAACAGCAAAGAGAGGGAAAAAGGAAGACAGAAATACATGAAAAGATCCAAACACTGTAAACAGACACACAAGAAGATAGCATGGATGCATCAGTGCCTGCCAATCCAGTACTGTTTTGTTTTAAATCACTGTAAATCTTCTAGGGCCTGACCAATATATCATTTGGCTGATAAAATTGGCCAGGCTTAAGTTTCAGCAAACATATCGATATTGGCAAAAATCGCATACTGAAATTTGAAGGGGAAAGTTTGTGAATGACAAAGCCATCGCTATAAAATCCCAGGTGATTGCTAAGGTGTTGCTATGCTGTTACATATTACATTATGACCACCTTTTTGCTTCTACGCTCATTGTCCATTTATCAGCTCCACTTACTATATAGGTGCATTTTGTAATTCTACAATTACAGACTGTAGTCCATCTGTTTCTCTGCATACTTTGTGAGCCCCCTTTTACCCTGTTCTTTAATGGTCAGGACCCCATGGACCACAGAGCAGGTACTATCATTCTCAGCACTGCAGTAACACTGATGTGGTGGTGGTGTGTTAGCGTGTGTTGCGCTGGTGTGAGTGGATCAGACAGTGCTGCTGGAGTTTTTAAACACCTCAGTGTCACTGCTGGACTGAGAATAGTCCACCAACCAAAAATATCCAGCCAACAGCGTCCTGGGGCAGCATCCTGTGACCACTGATGAAGGACTAGAGGATGACCAACACAAACTGTGCAGCAGCAGATGAGCTATAGTCTCTGACTTTACATCTACAAGGTGGACTGACAAGGTAGGTGTGTCTAATGGAGTGGACAGTGAGTGGACACAGTGTTTAAAAAAATCCAACAGCACTGCTGTGTCTCATCCACTCATACCAGCACAACACACACTAACACACCACCACCACGTCAGTGTTACTGCAGTGCTGAGAATGATCCACCACCCAAATAGTACCTGCTCTGTGAGGGACCATGGGGATCCTGACCACTGAAGAACAGGGTAAAAGGGGGCTAACAAAATATGCAGAGAAACAGGTGGATTACAGTCTGTAATTGTAGAACTACAAAGTGCACCTATATAGTAAGTGGAGCTGAAAAAAAGGACAATGAGTGTAGAAACAAAGAGGTGGTCATAATGTTATGCCTGATCAGTGTATACATATATATATATATATACACACACATATAATGAAATGAATGTAGGCTATACAAAAACCATATGTGTGACTGGCACCAAAAGAATATTAGCATACTATTCTTCTATATAGATTCTAAGTTCCTGTTAAGTTTCATGCTTCTAGCTCGAAAACTAGAAAAATAAAATGAGGAACAGTAAGTTGGCTCCATCAAGCCAACTCAATTAACACTGGGATCCACCTTAGGTGCTACAGAATATAACTGCAAATCATGTTCTTATTCTTAAGACTTATACTTAAAAACTTGTTGAAGTTAGTCAGTCTTAACGTAATTGCTGAAATTTTTTACAAAGCGGCATTACATGATGAATTTACTCTAACTCGACCGCATAGGTATTAGCAAAAGCCATATTAGCACCACTGATACTTACACAGCACATTAGTGTCTGGATTGGCCTGATACCCAGACAGATAGGCAGAGAGATAAATAGAAGATAAATTCTGTTGAGCTTGGCTGGGTTTCAACATAACCGTCAATATGCTTTCGCTCTCGTCGTCAGCTGAGCGACTTATTCAGCTGTTAGCATTAGCAGAAAAGGAGGCTTTTGCCTAAAAGCCGTCGGTTTTTCACAGTGTGTTTAGTGCCGACGCTGCAGGAGCTGGGATTTACAGTGGAGTGCAATGAGACAGCGCAACACAGCGCAGCACTGGACTAAGTCCTTGAGTGAATGATTTGATTAACATGCTCCTTCATGGCTGGCAGCGGGAGATATATGGCTGCAGCTGCTGCATTTGTTACCAGCAGAGGAATTCAGTTTGAGGCCATTCTCCTTCCTCCACTGCTTCTCCCGCTGTCTCTTCAATGCCCCAGCCCAAAAACGAATGGCTAGTTATGAGAAGAGAGAGAGCGGAACGTAAATCACACTAAATTAACACTGTGAATTCTGCGGCAACACAAGTCAGCTGTTATGAAGAAAACGACTTTCCCCAGAAATTTATAACAGCGGAATAAAAATATGTTCAGAGCACACCCGTTTATGGGCATTAACGAGAGCCAAAAAACTGTGTGAAACGACCTCCATACTATGGACATTAATAATTTGGCATTCCAATCTAACATTCAGTTTTAACTTTAGGATGAGCAATATTCTATAATAGTGAGGACAGGCCTCACACTGGGGTAGGCAATATGACAATATGATTATAAATTTCTACATAATGTGCTTTTTCAAGTACATAGTGGGCGATATGGCAAAAGTAACACACTACAATACTTCAAGACTCTTATGATACATGATATGCATTACAACACTTTTCTGAAATTTGTTACAGGCAAAAAAGTACCATCAGCATCACATTTAAAATACCATCAAAAACGAATGAGTTCAATGATTTTAATTCACCGTTTCACATGCTTCACTGCTCTAAATCCAATTTAGTAAGATTAATTGTACTCTTTTTTCAATAGAATGGGCAGTTTTTAGTGCACTATAAGTACTGACGATCTCAACGATATGCTTGGAAAAGTGTATCGTGATGATACTTTCATTTTTCGCAATATCATCACATGTGTATCATCACATATCATCAAACACTGTGCCTCATACATTTCCCTAGAACGGAGCATTTTATGTAAATACCATATCTGTGATATCATCTTAATGATTTAATTATTCAAAAAGTTTTGAAAATCAGCAGAATTTTTCTTTAAAAGTTTATTTTTGCAAAACCAGATAAAGATCAGTCATAGTTTTAGTTTTTTTAAAATGTAGCACTACTGGTGCATTGTCCATTTCCACTCGTTTGCAAACTTCAAAAAAACTAAATATTGTGCCTTATAAAATATCTTCTACTATCATAATACTACATTTCTGCCACGTCACCCTTCCACAGCTTGAAATGAATTCTCAGACCAAGCATATGTCATCCACACTACGTATGCCTCCAAAACCCCTTTTTGGTCTGTTGCTCATGAATTAGAGATTAACAGCACGTGTGTCATGTTACTTGACATCAATACGCCGATACACTAAACCCAGGCAGGTTGGTTCTCTTAGCAACCGTCCCACTGTGCATAAGTACTGTTTCAAAAAGACTCCAAACAGACTGCTACCTCTCCATCAAAGATTTATAGCATGAGGTCTTTCCACCCCTTTTTACTGTGCAACATGACGAACAGCCGTGAAAGTTTTTGACAGGATGGTCCAAACTGGATTGAACTGAATTGTGTTTAGACATGTACAGATTTCACCACAGTGTGTAAATATTAAGACACAGACCTTGAACAAACCACAAAGTTGAAAGACTACCTCTGACAGAGATGAGGGTTACAGTTAGTAATATGTCATAAACAAAATAGTTTGAAACTGTTTGAATAGTTCATTTGAAACTGAAAATCAGACTTGTCAGGGAAAACCAAGAGCTGGACATTTTTTTCTTGCCCTTGCTGTCCTTACGCTCAAAATATTAACTTCAACACCTCCTTTTAACCTAGAACCACTGAACTCTGTACACCCAAATAGTGTGCCTGTGCTTTTGAGACTGATCAAACACACAGTTTTTGTGCAATGTTTGTTCAAAGACAACTTTTTCCACCTTAGAATGAATAGCAGAATGTTGAGAATGTTGAATTTCAAATCTGCCACAAATAACAAAGGATATCTCTCACGCAAACCCACACAGACTCTATGTACACTCACATACATACCAGCACACACATATATGCACGCATATTAGCAACCAATTCAGACACCTTAGCAACCTTTTGGGAAACCAAAACAAAGCCCTAGCAACACCTTAACAACCATTTGGGATTCTATAACAATGGCCTAGCAACACCTTAACAACCATTTGGCATACCATAACAATGGCCCAGCAACACCTCAGCAACCACTTTGAAACATTTAGCAAAAGTCCACCAACACCTAAACAATCACCTGTGACATGACAGCAACAAACTAGCAACACCTAAGAAACTGCCTGGGATACCACAGCCACACCTTAGGAACTGTCTAGGATACCACATCAGTGAGCTAGCAACACCTTAGCAAACAGATGGGATGCCAAAGCAACAGCATAGCAACACCTTAGCAACCACCTGAAATACTGTAAAAAGTTCTAGCAACACCCTAGTAATCACTTGTCATACTAATGTGTTGCCTAGCAACATTAACAACCACTCTGGACACCGTGGCAATGGTCAAGCAACACATTAGTAACCACTTGGCATACTACAGTAATGGCCTAGCAACAACTTGGAAATCAACATGGTATACAATTGCAATAGCCTAGCAACACCTTAGCAACTGCCGAGGGTACTGTAGCAATGACCTAGCAACACTGTAGCAATGGCCTAGCAACACCTTATAAACCACAAGGGGCACCAAAGCAACATCCTAGAAACACCTTAGCAACTGCCTGAGATACCACAACAATGGCCTAGCAACACTTTAACAACTGCCAAGGGTACCACAGCAATGACTTAGCAACACTATAGCAATGGCCTAGCAACACCTTATAAACCACAAGGGACATCAAAGCAACATCCTAGCAACACATTAGCAACTGCCTGGGATACCACAACAATGGCCTAGCAACACGTTAGCAACCACATGGGACACCAAAGCAACGACGTAGCAACACCTTAGCAACCACCTGGAATATCATAGCAATGGCCACGCGACACCTTTGTATTCACCATAGCAATGGCCTGACAACACTTTAGTAATCACATGCGCAACAACAACACCTTAGCTACAACAACTACTAAGCAACACCCTAACAAGCTGGAATACTTTGACAACTTCATAGCAACTACCTTGAATTAATATTCAAACCCAATTAATTTATTAAAAAC